TGACGGACGAAATCTTAGAACCTTTTCAACGGAATCGAAGGAGACTGCCTCGGAAACAGCATCAGCACACTTTCACTCGAAATGGAAGTAAGCGCATATGCCCCGAAACGCCTCGAAACGCAAAGCCGAGTCCCACCAAACCAATTGACGGCTCCTCGAGGCGGCTCGAGTCCCGACTGGCAATGACGCCAACCAACATACCATCTTCACACCCAACCTATGCACCATCAAACGACCTCTGACCGAGTTCACACTTCCCTCTTTGCTACCCCATCCCACCTCAGGCCCACCTCGCAGGGGTCATGGCCTGCATTGAGGAAGAGGCGAGGCGCGTGTTCCAGTTGATCGACTCGGATCGCGACGGTTGGGTGAGTCTGGAGCAACTGCAGCTTTACCTCCTCCACGACGGCTTCTCGGACGGCGATGTCGAGGTAGGCGTTGTTTTCACACTCCTCACACAAACCACCCTTTCCATTTCGCCAATCCCCGCTCCACACTCACCGCTGGTGAAAACACACACACCGGCCCAGCCACTCTTTGCCCCTCCTTCACAACCTTCCCTCCCCCTACACACACACACACACACACAGTTCTGTCTATGTATGTGTCGTTGTTTATGTGTGTGTTTGTGTATGTGTGTGTGTGTGTGTGTTGTATGTGTAGAAGGGCATAAATTCGCCAGGTTGAAGATCACAAAACGAAGCGATAGGCAAAGCATATACAAAAATCGACAAGTGACTATGAAAATGTAAAAAGGATAGTTTGATAAAAGTTAGCCCAAGCGTGTGCTGATTCCACCATCTGTTTTTTTATGAATCGATTCTTCTGAGATACGAAGGAAAGCTGGACTCCGAAGAAACACTTAAGAAATTGTGAATAGCATACCTTTAATTTCGTCTGAGAAGGCGGGTCGGAGGGATTCGTAGATTGGCCTCCCCGGCAACCACAGGAGGGTTGCCTTGGAGATTTTTCTGTAGAAATGTGTGAAGAAGATATCGGCCCAGCGTCTTGCGAACCCGATGACTCGGTGCTGAGCTCGCGTCCATCCTGTCACATACATCGTCAGGGCCAAAAAGCATTATTCACGAAAAATCACCAAAAATTATAGACCGAGAAGGGCTGGCCAGCTGTGATCCTACTTGCTTCTTATGCCTTACATTGCGATCTTAATGAGTCATTTCATGATTTGGTTGGCGGATGTATGCTTCAATTTGGTTGTGGTAATGATACATTATTCTGATGATGTTCGTCATGTCACGAAATCGTCGGAAGCAGAAACCATCATTCAGTAACAATCAGCAGAAAACACTAAACCAACCAAAGTGACC